CTGATGCTAAACAAAATGACAAATCCTAGGATTTTGTAGAATGGAGCTATGGCAGTTAAAGCAGTGTCAAACTGCATTATTTCTACAATGCAGATGCACCCTAAATCAATGGAAATTACATATGAGTAGATTCAGATTTAGGCCATATCATAGATATAGAACTTTTTTTGTAAAGGGAGTTATTTCTGAAGTTACACTTTCCTCTTTTTCCCACCAAGATGTTTACAATTTTTCATTAGTCAATATTTTTAGTCTTTTAATGAAATCCTCCATTCTATTGTACCACTGCAGAGTATGTGAAAGAATGTCATTATTTTACATCCCTTGATTTTAATGTGGCTGCATTTCCAAGCATTCTAATAAGACTACTACAACACCCCCCCCCCTTACAAAGGTAATTAGAGTGCTTTTGACAGGTATTTATATATGCTCCAGCTGCTTCTCATTGAAAGCCCCAACACTCATTGTAAATGCAAACTTGGATAAACATGTTAGTCATGCAGCATAAATGAAATCCTAAAATCATTTTCACAAAAACTCCCCTAATAGATTTTTTTTGTGGGAAAGGGTCAATCAAGCCTAACTTCTGAACATATATCATGGAGTAGATCTACATCAGGAGTGAGCAGAGTATGCCCTTCAGTTTTTGCCAGACTTCATTCAAAAATTCCTTGCTGTCGGCAATGCTAGTTAGGGCTGATGGGAGGTACAGTCAAACAGTATCTGGAAAACTGCATGATTCACACTCTTGCTCTAGGAGCTTCTAAGAGTTTCTGGTTTATTAAGAGGAATACATAGGCCTCATTCCCACTATGTTATAACCCAGTTTGCTAACTGGTTTGAAGTGGTTAAATGACCCTTGTTCACACTTGAGCCGATTTGCTGAAGCGGTTTGGCGAGGGCCCCCCCTGCACTAGACCCATTAATGTGTATCTTTTTAATGCTCTTTTTTTCTGCATCTTTTGTAATAAATTGATTCAGTGCAGGTGTACACAGGATTCAGCTCAGAATCAATTTAAATTTTCCCCTTTACATTTGCCGGCTGGCTGAAGAGGATCCATTTTGAATCGATTCATTAGTCAATGTGAACAACAAGTGGGTTATTTTACAAGCAAATGTGATTGGGGCAAATGTAGTGGGAACCACGCTCCAATGTCGAACTGATCCATCGATTCAGATTGCAAACTGATTTATTTGTAATTGGGAATGAGACCATAAACTAGTATTGAACTGGTATAGCACCTGAGAGTTGCCATTAAGTCAGAAATGACTTGAAGGCACACAGCAACAAACACCAGCATACCCCGGCTAAGTGTTCCAGATATTGTTAGGTTGAAAGTCTTAGCAGTGCTAGTCAGGATAACTAAGGGCAAGGAATGCTGGAAACTGTAGTCCAACAGTAGCTTGAGGACCACATGACTATAATCCCTAATTTGCAATTGGAGCAAATTGGTTTAATTTTAACTGCTTTGGCTCAATCCTGAAATTTGCAGTTTGGTGAAGTACTTAGAATTCTCTTCTGTAGTTCAGGGGAGAAGACTAGTAAATTCTAAATACCTTATTTTCAGTTGAGTGCCTTATCTAGGTATCTCGAGGTCTTCCAGTGCAACCCTGTGCTCAACATCTGCCAGACATTGACCATAGAATTGTGCTGGAGGAGCTACAAATGCCTAGTGGAGTGTTCTCTCTAGCAATCTCTAGGTCCTTCAATGTGACTTTTGGTTAAAGTTGACCATAGAGTTGCACTGGAGGACCTAGATATTCCTAGAGAGAACATATTAATAAAATGCATTAATAATCAAATCTGCAAAAGTCAAAGCCACAAATGTGGAGGGATAAGTGTAGTATCAAATTGTGGTAACTGTATATGCACTCAAACACTTGTTGTTACATGCTTTTAAGTCAATTCTGACTTAAGGCAACCCATCATAGGGTTTTCTTGGCAATATTTGTTCAGAGGAGGTTTGCCACTGATTTCCTTTAAGGTTGAAAGAGTATGAGTGTTTTTCCATGGTTAGGTAGGGATGACTTGTTGAGTGTGGCTGAGTAGGGATTCAAAGCCTAGTCTCCAGAGTTAGTCCAGCATTTAAACAACTACATCATGCTGGTTCTGTGCAGGCCAGTGCTAAAGGAAAAAAGTGTATCTCTTGCTTCCTCTTCTTCCCCAGTCATTTCTCAAAACTCCTGAAGTTTCTGTTACCATGCATGTTTTTTGTGTTTCTTGAGAACAATAATTGAGATTTTAAAAACAGAAACATGAGATCAGGCTGTTGGTCTCATGAAACCTGCAGGGCTGGAAAAAGGCTTTGCATGTGGAGGTTCATGTGCTTTGCAATAGAAGTATTCCTTTTTGATTTCATTTTCACCACCTCTGCTGGAATGCCTCAGTGATATTGGGTGGAGGGGCTATTTCTGGAATTGATCCAGGACCCTAGGCTTGGTTCCATGTTCACATTGCAGGAGTCCCGAGTGAGTCTGCCCTCCACCCAGCCATGAGATTTACAAAAAGGAGGGGGGGGGGGTGCAAAGCTAGCTCATCTATTGAGAAAATGCTACAAATCAAAGGAAAGTCCATGCTGAATCTGTAATGTGTGAAATGACTTGCAAATGCCTGCAGAAATGTTTGCTCCTGAAGTTGCATAGGACTCGCAAAAAGGTTAGGTCAATCTCCTGAGATTTCTGTAAAATGTGTCACCATTCCAAGTAAAAGATTGGATGCACATTGGAATGACAGAACACTTGCATTTTAGTATCCTTTACAATAAGTCTAAGAAGAGGGGAAAAGAGAGAGAGAAAAAATCTTTTTGATTCTGCTTTGTGAACTTTTGAAACATCATGTCAGTAGCTTCCTAAATATTTTTAGCAGTGGGTAGGAAGGAGTAGCCATTTTTACTGCAGCAAATGCAGTGAGTAACTGGCACTTCAAAGGCCAATTTTTATTTACCATAAATTTGGAGGACTGCAGCTCATTCCAGCAAAGGCATCAAATAAACATAATCGCCACCATCATTATCATCATGATCATCTATATCCAAATATTCAAACTAAATGACAAGAAAAGATCCCCAGGCCCCTACCTCTTCTTTCCTCAAAGCACTAACCTGTGGATAATGGCACTGTCAACATTATGAATGAGGTTGTACCTCTGTGCTAGCTGTCACGTTACTACTAAAACATAGGCATGCCATCCGCACCCATTGTAATAAATGCTCTGTTTATGAGTCTTAGAAATGAACAGTTATCATGCAGATTGTTTCAGTAGCAAACTAATTTTCAATGCCTTGGAGAAAAAGCAATGTTATTGCAGTTTTTATTCAAGAACATTTTGGCAGAAATGTTTCTTTTATACCCTACAGGATATCTTCTTTGGTTGCTGATGATTAGTGATATGCAAGCCCTCCTTCTTCCCAGTTCACAGCTATCTTGTTATTTATTATCTTTTGCCTTTTGCTGGAAGCTTTCAGAAAGAAATGTGCCTGTATTTCGAAACTTCTATTTTTCAACTTGAAATGTCAGCATGTGTATGGTGGCAGTACAATATAAATATCCCACCTGTACAGGTGGGAAGGACCATTAGGACCACCTAGTCCAACCACCTGTCAATGCAGGAATCATTGGCATAAATCCATTTTGCTAGTCCCATTGTGGAGTTCAAGGATGAATTCCATGGTTCTGCTCTAGCTGAGTCTGGCCAGTGGAGTTCAGCATAAAGAGAAATTAAGGAATCCTGTAGCACCCTTCAGGAAAAGAAATTTCTAGCCTAAGCTCCCATGGATGCTAGTCCACTTTGTCAGATGCCAGTTTATGCAAGAATTTTTTATACTGCCTTATCTCATGAAAAAAGAAAGCCAAAATGGAGCAGAAGAGAAGCAGCTTTCTCCGTACCTCTCCACATGCCATTGTAGAATCATAGAATCATAGAGTTAGAAGAGACCTCAGCGGCCATCAAGTCCAACCCCCTGCCATGTAACCTTTTAATAAATAATGCAAATATTTGCTACTCTTATACATTGCATATATTTACTACTAACTGAGTTAACCCATTATGTATCAAAAATAGCTATAACCTTTTAACATTTTTGTTATTTGAATTTTTGAAACATAATGAGTTAATTCAATTAGTAAATATATGCTTTTTACAAGAGCAGCAAATATTTGCATCATTTACTAAAAGTTGCATGAATATTAACTGCAGTTTGATTAGAGCTGTACTGCACCTACCTTCTCTCACCAGCCATGCTGGTAATCTGTTTAGAAATTGACAGTTGTGTTTAAGAGCATTCAAGACAGTGAGCAATGATCTCATCCATTTTACCAGAAAACCTTCTTAAAGTGTAATTTAAAAAGTGGGGGGAAAAACAGCCAGCCTGTGTCTCTTTCACAGCAGTGTTCTGAAACTAAATAACTCCCCCCACCCCCAGGGCTGAGCAAAACAGGTTGCCAAGTGGTTTTGACAATTTCACCATGACATTGACTTACATTAAACTAAAGGTATCAGAGGTAATTAGGAAAACAAATAAAATAAAATAAAATATTGATGCTTCATCACTGTCAATGCTAGAGATGGTTGAGGTAGAAGCTGGGTCATTGTTAAGTGGCAAATGAGGAGATGGAGGGTCAAGTTTAGACACGACAACCTATCTTTGCTCATGAAGTGCATCTTGTAGACTAGTGTTGGCAGATCTGAGGCTGCAGAGGACCAATGCTTGTTTTTGTTAGAACCTCAACTGGTTCCAGATGAAAAATAATGGCATGGGGACAAGCATACACTTAGAATTAAGGAATTTCTGAGTACATGCTCAGCCCAGGCATATGTACTCAGAAGCAGAAGTAGATGATGAAGACACTGAAATAGTTCAAGATTTTCTATACCTTCACTCAGTCATTAATCAAAATGGAGACTGCACTCAAGAAATCAGAAGAAGATTAGGACCTGGAAGGTCAACTATGAAGAAACCAGACAAAATCCTGAAGTGTAAAGATATATCATTGAATTGAGAGCCAGGGTGTTGCAGTGGTTTGAGTGTTGGACTACAACTCTGGAGACCAGGGTTCAATTCTCCACTTGGTCATGAAACCCACTGAGTGACCTTGGGCAAGTCACTTGCTTTCAGGAGAAGGCATTGGCAAACCTCCACTGAAGAAATCTTGTCAAGAAAATCACATGATAGGTTCACCTTAGAGTAGCCATAAGTCAGAAACTACTTGAAGGCACACAACAACAATTAAATTTAGGATTATCCATGTCACTGTATTTCTCATTTCTATAGTTATGAAAACTGGTCTGTGAAAAAAAGCTGATAGGCAGCAAAGCAAATTATTTGAAATGTGGTGCTAGAGAAGAGTTCTACCGATACTATGGACTGCTAAAAAGACCCAATAAATGGGTCCTAGAGCAAATCAAGCCTGAACTCTTTCTAGAAGCCAAGATTACCAAACTGAGACTTTTATACTTTGGGCATATCATGAGAAGACATGGCTCACTAGAAGACAGTAATGCTTGGTAAGGTAGAAGGCAGCAGGAATAGAGGAAGAAATATTACACATTGACTAAATCAAGGAAGCCATGGCCCTGAGTCTGCAAGACCTAAGCAGGGCTTTTCATGACAGAGTGACTTGAAGGTATCTCATAAGTCATAAGTCAAAGTTGACTTGACACCAGTTAACAAGAACGAGCCAGTGCAACTGTTTCAATGAAGGAGACACATGTAACCAGCCCCAGTCAACAGCCTGCCTGGAGCATTTGGACCCACTGAAATTTCTAAAGTTTACAAAGACAGTTCCATGTAAACTGCATTACAGTAGTACAAATGGGATGTAATCAAGGCATCCATCACTCTGGCCAGATCTGACTCATTGAGGAATGGATGCAGCTGACACATTAGTTAACAGTGCAAATGTACTCCTGGCCACATTTGAAACCTGGGCATCCAGGCTCAGATCTGAGTCCAAGATACACCCAAGTTATAACCCTGAGAGTGCAACCCCATCTAGCAAAAGTTGAATCCCTGTTCCCTGATTTGCCTTCCAATTTACCAGGAGTACCCCTATCTTGTATGGATTAAGCTTCAGTTTACCCTCACCCAATCCATTACTGACAGCAAACACTGATTTAGAACAGAAACAGCTTCCTTGGAATCAGATGCAAAAGAAAGGTAGAGTTGTTTATCATCAGTGCAACTAATGACACTGAACCCCAAAACTCCATATGGCCTTTCCCAGAGGTTTCATGTAAATATTAAACATTATGGGGAAACAGAATCAAGCTCTGAGGAATGCCGCAACATAGGGCCCCATGATTCCCTAGCACTGAGCCAGGACAGTTAAAGTTGTCTCAAACTGGATTATTTCTGGCAGTCTGTACAGACCCATAGTGGCCAGGGTGTTGAGCAGGCATCATCCAGCACCACCTTCTGAGTCCACCCCTCTAAGAAAGACTGGATCAACTGTAAAACAATGCCCCAAGTCCCACCCCAGAAAGGTGAGCCAGAAGGATGTAATGGTCAATGGAACTTTCCTTGCATAATTCATCTACCAAGTCAACCAAAGCTGTCTTTGTCCCATAGCCAGTCCTGAAGCCAGATTGAAACAGATCTAGATAATCCTTAGAGGTGAATATGGGACTATTTTGATCTGTAGAGGTCAGATTTACATATAACAGAGCTTGGAAAAGTTCCTTTTTTGACTCTCAGAATCCACCAAGCCAATTTGGGTGGATTCAGCCCAGAAAAGCAACATTTCCAAGCACTGCAATAAATGTAGATGAAAGCCTGAGAATGAGATGATGCATAAACAGGTGGAACAGCTTTTAGAAGGAAGAGATTTTTTCCCCTCTTTTTCTTCTGCGGTTGGAGGTGATTACAGAAAGAGAGGAGAGAACAGAACAGAACCCAAAAAACTAGGAGATAAAAATTATAAAGAGATCAACCGATTTTAATTCAAAGGCTAAGCATATGCATTAGAATCCAATTAGAATCAAAGCTCAGATGTTAATCAGAAATATTTACAGGGCTTTTAACTGTCCAATGTGGCAAATGAAATAGATCCCTAAAACAAAACTAACATGGACTTCTCACTTTAAAGGGGAATAAATTTCCAAAGTTTGCCATGGGTAAGCAACAGGAAAAAAGAACATTTAAGTTGCAAAGGCATACAACTATGAGTCTTTTCTCCCTGCCTGGGATCACATGGGAATATGGCAGTGCCTGCATGCCAGCAGTGGGCAGGGTTTAAACCAATGGTGCATGAGGCCAGAATGAACAGCAGCTAGATTAGTCTTCGCCCTTCTATGCCCTACTTTCTCTTTCTGTAATCCTCTTATTCTCTCCTGTCCCTTTTCCTCCTCACCTAACAGGCTGCTGAAGAAGGACCAAATCACTTTTCCAATGTCTTGAACTGATGATTTGCAGGTGAATTTGGAAATTACACTATGGACCTCAAGAGAGAAGGTTGAGGACCATATATAGTCCAAGGATTAAAAGTTATCCATCCCATGTCTGGAGGAAGGATGATTTATGACAAACCTTAACCCCCTATGATTTAATATTCTGGCACAACTTGTTAAGTGAAGACACACGATTTAGAATTTTCTTCAAAACACAGAGGCAGGACCACATAACTTGTGGCTAACCAAGTTCATTGTAGCACAATAGCTATGTACTGTGGTGTGGTAGGTATTTTGATAAGCCCTCTTCCTCATGCAGTCTGGTACCATTTGGAAAATTTCTCTGTCTAGACTACAATACCCAGAACCCTAGTCTGACGGTTGGGCTCCACTCTTGTAGAAGATGCACACACCAGTGCTTTTGAGGGCCAGATTACTACCAGCACAGGCCCCAAAATTTCAGAACCAAAACCTGACACCAAGATACAGCCCATGGTGATCTCATTAAGCATGATACAGTAAACATCAGCCACACTTGCCCTTTAATAGAATCATATAATCATAGAATCATAGAGTTGGAAGAGACCACAAGG